TATATAACATCATTCTCTTCATTAATGTATTATATTTAATTGTGAAAGTTGGAGAATTTATGAGTGGACAACATTTGAAAAAAAAAATATTATATTGAAAATTAAGAACATTAATTATTTTAAACTATTTTTCAAATACTAAAACTAGATTGTATTGAGACGAGGGTTTATTACATCTTCTCCTTATATTATAGGACCAAAATATTTAAACTGGTTTTGTTTGTTTTTATAAATCATAATATGTTATTGTTAAGTTAAAAGACGATTTTAGATCCTAATGTTTTATAAGTTTTATAATGATAATAAATACTATATTTTTTTTAGTAAGAAAATATGCTCTAAAAGTCATTATTTTATATTGAATAAGGTGAAGTAGCATTTATAAGAAAAAGTAATCAGACAAAGTATACAAATTATTTCTAACGATCATTATTTATTGTGATTAACCAATTTAAATATTCAAATGAATGTTTTATACCTTAACATATCAAAAGTTGTTGTCTTAGAACTCACATTCCGTTAAAAGTGTATAAAAGCATGAAGAGTAGCATAACAAAAGATAAAGATCCCGAATTTCATGAAAAAAAAAACATTGAAAAAGGACTACATTCTCACTTGACTAAAAAAATACTTGGATTTGAGTCTGGAGAGACTTGTCTGTAAAAGAATACTTGAGTTTGAATTTAAAGAAACTTGTCTGTAAAAGAATACTTGAGTTTGAGCTTGGAGAGACTTATCTATAAAAGAATACTTGGGTTTGAGTCTGGAGAGGCTTGTCTGTAAAAGAATACTTGGGTTTGAGCTTAAAAGAGACTTGTATGTAAAAGAATACTTGGGTTTGATCTTGGAGAGACTTATCTGTAAAAGAATACTTGGATTTGAGCCTAGAGAGTGATGGAATCATGCCTAGGAAAGCAAGAGGTGACACATTGAAGGAGCCAAGAGGAGTTGGCTAGACATGAAGGTTTGGGTCAGTCAAGGCCCAATGGGCCCGATGGGCTTGGAAGGCCCAAGTTGAGCTTCACATGGGCCACATCTTGTTATAGCTATTTCCTTATGGTTTGTATATATAATGTTAGTATAGGTATCATATATTTTGGTCTTGTATTTTGGACCACATAAAGTAGCATTTTTTTGGCTTTAGGCTTAATTGGGCCTAGTTTTGGGCTTTATGGGCCTTTGGGCTTTTGGTACCCAATAATGGGCTCATTTTCATTCTTGTAATTTTTCCTTTTCCATTGTATTTGATTGGCTATTGTAATTAGGTTTAATTTGGAAGTCATTTAAGTTACATTTGAGTCACATGTTTAACACCTTTGGTGGCTGAACATGTGCCACTCAAATTAACCCTAAATGGCACTCAAATCAAACTTAGATGCATCATAGCACCTAAACTCACGGCCAAGCACACGGGAGCCAAAATTTGAATTCAAATTTCAAGTTTGAATTCAAATGTAGGCGCCAACATGTGTGGCTTGACTTAGGTGCCAATGAGCTTCATTTCCGTGGCCTATTTAGGTGATTCTCCTCCTTTGTAAAATCACTTTTGGATTATATACATGAGATTTATCCTCTTAGAACTCTCTCCCTCCGAAAGTCACTTGATCCTATCTCTACCCTTCTTGAGCTCCTCTCTTTGTAGAGCTAGGATCACTCATCTTCTTCTGGACTTAGCAAGAGCAAGCCTAGGTCACATTGGTGCTTCTTAGAGTCTTCATCCTTGACATCTCTCCAAGGAATCCGAGAAGCATTGAACGAATTCTTGAGATTTCACAAGTGGAATCTCATCAGAGAGGCTTGTCTGTAAAAGAATACTTGGGTAGCGGCTTAAAGAGGCCAGACAAAGAACATTTTTTTGAGCTAGAATTAACATGGTAAAAGAATACTTGTAACTTTGCTAAAAGTTAGTAAAACTCAATTTGGATGGATTTAAAACTAAACATAGTCTTAGTGAGGTGAACCAGTATAAAAATATTGGGTTTATTGATTACTCTTACTAACCTTTCATCTGTTGCAGATAGTACTTCACATACTTGAAAATGTGCGAGTTTTTTATATACACTATTCAACCCACATAAGAGTTAAATTTTCTCTACAACTATATATGTCTCAAGCATTAAATTTTCTTTACAAAAATATTTTTATTGAATGTATTTTTTATTTTCACAAATGAAATTCATTTAGTTTTTGTCTCTTAAAATACAAAAGAGTTTCATTTTTTTTCTTTGAACACAAAAACTTTAGAAACAATTATGTACCTCATTAAATTGTGGGTGATTTTGAAAATAGAAAAATGCAAAGTAGTGTCATTAGGAAACTATTAAAGCTTTGCGTGGGATCAAGAGGGGAGAAATTGATGGTAATAAGTGAAAATTGATTTGATAGAAATGTTAGATCAAAAGATCCCTTAAGCTATAAGTATTAATGATAACAAATTTAGATTTTTTTAAGAGAAAAGTTTTTTTTAGATCATACCATAAGATGAATTATGATAGATGATTGGTTATATTGACATTAAATCTTAGATGAACTACTTTGTTTGTAAGGCAAAAGCCTTTAACATATATCATTTATGATATCTGATAACTAAATCATATTTGCTTATATTATTCCTTAAAAACAAATCGAAAGAAATTAAAAGATTTTTTGGTACTCTCACTACAAAATGGAACACATACATGTTTTGTGTCAAAGAAAGGACAAGCAAATTGATGGAATCATGCCAAGGCCAAAATGACCAAGAGGTGATACTTTGAAGGACCCAAGAGGAACACTACAAAAAATATGCAATTTAGCGACTACCAAAATCGGTCGCTAAATTGCTAAAATCGGTCGTTATTTACCTTAGTGACCGAATTTAATCAGTCGTTAAGCTATTGAGCGACGAAAAAATTTTCGGTAGCAAAATAGTTGCGATGATTTTGGTCGTTGAAGTGTATGAGACCAAATTAGTAACTGAATAAATCAGTCGCTAAATTGGTCACTAAATATTTATTTTTTATTGTAACGTAGAAAAAAAAATGTGGCTGATTTAGTAGCCTAGAACGGGCCGTTCCCAATCTAGAACGGGCCGTTCCAAGCTATTAAATTGAACTGAAAATCGTAGTTGAGAACGGGCCGTTCTGGAGGGAGAACGGGCCGTTCTGGTTGGAGAACGGGCCATTCTAGATGGAGAACAGGCCGTTCTGGAGGGGAGTACGGGCCGTTCTGGATGGAGAACGGGCCGTTCTGGATGAGTTCCAGAACAGGTCGTTCTGATTTCAGAACGGGCCGTTCTGTAGGTGTTTTTTTGTGCGTGTTGAGGGAGTTCAGAATGGGCCGTTCCGATATCGATACAGGCCGTTCTGGCCACTCCAAAAATTCTATAAATAGGGGTTAGGGGCCTTCAGGAGAATGTGAGTTTTTAGAGAGAAGTTTTAGAGAGAAGGTCTCTGGACTAGAAAGCTTGCTTTGGGAGGATTGAAGTTCCAGGTTGAGCTTCGGAAGGGAATTCTACTTCTTCTCAGTTCTTGACTATTTTGAGCCAGTCTTCAGGTGAAGGAAGCTAGAATGTTTGTTGTTTAGGTTGCATGTGAGTTTAGAAACTCAATAGGTGCATGAATGTTGAGAATCCATAGATGGATTGAAGAAAATCTCATTTTTGGGATTTTGAGGAAAATGAGGATTTTGATGCATAGTTGGGATGCATGTGAGATTTAAGTTTATTTTGAGTCGTATGGAGCCTATGCATTGTGTTTTGTGTTTGCATGTGGTTGAATTTGTTAGTTTGGATAAGAGTTTTGAACTCTCTGACTAGGATTTAGGCAGGGTGCAGGTTGAGCGCGCCAGGCGTGGAAGAGCTTAAGGCTCTCAGGTTGGATGTTGCGCCAGACGTGATTTGATTGCGTCAGGCATGGATACTCTTAGGAGTCTCTGTTTCAAGGACACCGAGCGTGAGTTGAACGCGCTGGGCGTGGATGAGTTTTAGGACTCTCAGGTTGGGATTAGGCTGGGCGAGCTCAGGCTACGCCGGGCGTGAATATGTTTATGAATGAATTGATGCTTATGCATGTTTAAAGTTGAAGTTTTAGATCATGTATGTATGATATATGATGTATGGTGAGGTATGATTCATATGTATGCTTTGTGATGATACGTATGAATGGTTGAATATGATATGACATGTGTATATGTTCATATGGGTATGTTTGTTGATCATAATGGTGGTAGATCATGTATGATGTATGATGCATTATTACATGTGATGTCTTATGACATGTGTATGATTGTTGATCCTGATGGTGGGCAGACCATGTATGATGTATGATGCATAATTGCATGTGATGCCTTATGGCATGAGTCTAGCCTAGGACATGAGGAGAGGAAAAATATTTTCGAACTAGAAGAGCTCACATAGAGTCTCTTGAGAGTGGTGCTTGGATAGGCCACTGATATGAGAGTGGTGCTCAGGGAGACTACTGGATTTGGGAGAGTGGTCCTCAGATAGGCCACTGGGTTGGGTGAGTCTCCTCTAAGTCCTTATTAGTATGATGAAGTGTGGTGTTTGACTTCATGATTGGTGGATTGTATTTTATGCATGATTGATAGTTGGAAGATGTGTAGTATATATTTTATTCTGTGTAGTATAGATTATTATGATTCATTTGTGATTTCTAGCTTACCCTTCTGTTTCCATGTGGTGGAACTGCGATGATCATACTTGGTATGGGAGCAGGTCAGGGCTAGCTTGGAGTTGAGGTGACCGCTGCGAGACGGGGAGTTTGATCCTCGTGTTAGGGTACCATTTTGGGTAACGGTTTTGTCTGTGCTTGACCGGCACTAGGGAATATTATTTTTGGGATGACTGTACATATATGGCATTTTATTTTGTATTTACGAAATTTAGTTATTTTATTCTTATCTATACCTGTATGTATGAGTTATCCAACTTAATATTTCTCTTATTTCACTAGCGATTCCAGTAAGTGTAGACCATGGCGGGTCGTTACATTTATTTTATTAAATTTTATATACGTCGCAAATTTGATCGCTAAGAACCAATCATATTTGGTCTCTTAAGGATTTTATTTCACAATACTTAACTTTTTACATGTTTTGTCCTTAATTACACAATTTTTGGAAACTTCCGAGAAGGTCACCCATCTTTATATTACTTCAAGTCAAACACGCTTAATTGTGAAGTTCTTATGAGATAAGCTACCGAAAAGTAGATGCATGTTGTTAGTATAAGTAGTACAAATTAATTCATTTAAGTCATCCTCAACTATCCAACCTCATACTTATATTATCTTTGGATCCTTATCATTTTGGTGTATCCGGACCGTTATAAATATATAATAATATATATAATAATTATATTACTAACAATAAAAATTATATTATATTTAATTAATCTTTATTTATATATATACTTACTTTTATAATTAACAATCTACTTATTTCTATTTAAAATTAATTTTATGATACAATTTAAATTATTTATTATAAATTTAAAAGTTTAAGTAATAATTTATATATTTTAAAATGAGAAGGGTTATAATAACACTGGTATAACTTTTACTAAGTATTACACCGCTCAATAACTTTATATTAAATGTGAATTTTGTAAATCCAACCGTTAGATTGAAAGTTCATATCACTTTATATGTTTATATCAATTTTTGTTAAAATTGAACAACAACTTAAAAGTAATCAAAGTGCTCATATTTTATTTGAAATGTATATATTACGTCAATTTTATTTTACAAGAATGAAGTATCAAATCATCTTGAATTCATATAAAATTTTGTATATATGATCTAAGAGTAAAAAACTTTCAATCTAACGGTTGAATTTATAAAATTCACATTTAATATAAAGTTATTGAGCGATGTAATACTTAGTAAAAGTTACACCGATGTTATTATAACCCTTCTCTTTTAAAATATTATTTTTATAAATTAAATTTTAACATTTTAAATAAATTATTAATTAACTTAATATATTTATTCATCTTAAATCTAAGATATAAAATTCAAAAAATGTATTTATCCTTGTTTTATTTTCTAATTATCAACCATTAATAAAATACTAATTTAAAATCTTATCTAGTTATATCATAATATTTTCATATCAAGTTTAAAATCAGATATTAGTTATACAAAAATATTAAAATCATATAGTAAATTAAAAAAAAGATTCTAGTTAAATAATTTTAAATAATTTAAAATAATCAATTTTATCACACAACAATAAAGAAATACTAATAGTTAAGAAAATACATTTGTACTCTTCCTATTAGAAAAAGAGAGGATATTATAATTCTTTTTTTCCTTAAGATATCACATCTCTTTTATCAATAAAATTTAAATATAAAAATTTATTTAAAAATAAAGTTATCATAAGTTAGAAATATATATTATAAATATGGATCAAAATAAATAAGAAATTTTAAAAAATTCATATACTCTAATTAAAAATGTAACGTAGTAAGTTTTAAAAAAAAAGGTGATTTAGTAACCCAGAACGAGCCATTCCCTATCTGGAACGGGCCGTTCCAAATTACTAAATTGACTTGTAAAACGTAGTAGAGAACGGGTCGTTCTGGATGGAGAACAGGTCGTTCCAAACACCAAAATGGGCCGTTCTGGATGGAGAACGGGCCGTTCTGGATGAGTCCCAGAACGGGCCGTTCTAATTTTAGAACAGGCCGTTCTGCATGTGATTTTTGCACATGGAGAAAGGGTGCAGAACGGGTCGTTCTGGATTCGGAACAGGCCATTCTGGCCACTTCGGAACTTCTATAAATAGGGGTTGGTGGTTGAGGAGAAAGTGAAGTTTTTAGAGAGAAGTTTTAGAGAGAAGGACTCTGGGTCTGTGAGCTCCTTTCTCTCCCAAATTTCTCTGTATGATTCTTTTTCTCCTCTAGATCACTAATGCCTTCTGTCTTTCCTTGAAATTCAGATTAGGAAGCTTGCTTTGGGAGGATTGAAGTTCCGGGTTGAGCTTCGGAAGGGAATTCTACTTCTTCTCAATTATTGGCTATTTTGAGCCAATCTTCAGGTGAGGGAAGCTAGAATGTTTGTTGTTTAGGTTGCATGTGAGTTTAGAAACTCAATTGATGCATGAATGTTGAGAATCCATAGATGGATTGAAGAAAATCTCATTTTTGGGGTTTTGAGAAAAAGGAGGATTTTGATGATTTTGATGCATAGGTTGGATGCATGTGAGATTTAAGTTTATTCTGAGTCGTATGAAGCCTATGCATTGTGTTTTGTGTTTGCATGTGGCTGAATTTGTTAATTTGGATGAGAGTTTTGAACTCTCTGACTGGGATTTAGGTCAGGCACAGGTTGAGCGCGCCAGGCGTGGAAGAACTTAGGGCTCTCGGGTTGGATGTTGGGTCAGGCGTGATTTGGTTGCGTTAGGCGTGGAGACTCTTAGAAGTCTCTGTCTCAAGGACACCGAGCGTGAGTTGAGCGCGCCGGGTGTGGATGAGTTTTAGGACTCTCAGGTTGGGATTAGGCTCGACGAGCGCAGGCTGCGCCAGGCGTGAACATGTTTATGAATAAAATGATGCTAATGCATGTTAAGTTAAAGTTTTGGATCATGTATGTATGATATATGATATATGCTGAGGTGTGATTCATATGTATGCATAGTGATGATATATATGAATGTTTAAATATGATATGGCATGAGTATATGTTCATATGTGTATGATTATTGATCATGATGGTGGGCAGACCATGTATGATGTATGATGCATAATTGCATGTGATGCGTTATGGCATGAGTCTAGCCTAGGACTTGAGGAGAGGAAAAATATTTTCGAACTGGAAGAGCTCGCATAGAGTCTCTTGAGAGTGGTGCTTGGATAGACCACTGATATATGATAGTGGTGCTCAGGTAGGCCACTGGATTTGGGAGTGCTGCTCAGGTAGGCCACTGGGGTTGGGTGAGTCTCCTCTAAGTCCTTAGCTAGTGTTGGAGCGGGGTATGAGGTCGAGGGTTATTCCCTTAACCAAGTACTCGGGAAGGTGCGTGGATCCTTGCGGATAGTCGGTGGGCGAACTCCACAATTGACTTGGTTAATGCATGCCAAGGTCGTGGTAAGCCCGTACCCAGCTGTGCTATACCTGACGGTGGATCTGGACTTCCAATTGTGTAAGTGACATCATCCGAGTAAACCCGAGTGAGGATTATATCCTGTTTAGCTGTGACCGAGCGGGCGCATTGGGCGTGAAAACGGTTGGGGTGGTTTCGGTAGGATGGAATGTCACTTATACAGCTCTATTGTTATGGAGATCTCCTAGGTGTATGCGTGACGACGCATTAGATGATTGATATGCATTGATATCTGTCATGAGATGCATTTATTGCATGATTATTAATATGATGAAGTGTGGTGTTTGACTTCATGATTGGTGGATTGTATTTTATGCATGAGTAGTATTGGATAGAGTGTATGGTGCGACTCTATGAATATGATTGATAATTGGATGATTGTGTAGTATAGATTATTGTTCTATACTTGTATGATTGATTTGTGAACTCTAGCTTACCTTTTTGTTTCCCTGTGGTGGGACTGCGATGATCATACTTGGTATGGGAGCAGGTCAGGGCTAGCTTGGAGTTAAGGTGTCTGCTGCGAGATGGGGAGTTTTGATCCTCGTGTTAGAGTTACCATTTTGGGTAACGGTTTTGTCTGTGCTTGACCGACACTAGGGAATATTATCTTTGGGATGACTGTACATATATGGAGTTTTATTTTATAACCAGAAACTTAGTTATTTTCATTTTTTATGTGTACATGTATGTATGAGTTATCCAGCTTAATATTTCTCTTAGTTTCACTAACAGTAGTGCGATTCCACTAAGTGTAGACACCATGGCGGGTCGTTACACTTTTATGGTATTAGAGCTGTTCGAGTCTTTTGGGATAGTCTGTGGGGAGTGATCCTTCTAGGTTTCTATTGTGTCATATCTCTGATATGTGTTAGTATTGGTGAATTGTGGTGTTGAAGTGTTAGTAAAAGAATGTTTGAATTCTTTTAGTATGGTGAGGCCTCAGTTTGATCATATCGCTAAGGCTATGGAGATGATGGCCGTGGTGATGCAGCAGCAAAGTGCTCACTTTGCTCAGACGGAAGCGGGCAGAGCTACGACTGAGACAGCTAGACCGGTGGTCTCTTAGTATAAGAGAGATTTAGCAGATTTCAGGGGATGTTAGCCTCCTCAATTCAAGGGGGATTCAGATCCCGATATGACAGATTTGTGGTTGTGTGAGATGAGAAGATCTTCAGTGTTTTGGAATCTTCTAAGGAGAAGAAGTTGGCCTATGCAGTATACATGCTAGCAGGCGAGATTGTGCACGGTGGAGAGGCACCAGGTAGATGATAGAGAGTAGAGGCGTGGTTGTAGATTGGGATTGCTTCAAGAGAGTTTTCTTGGAGAAGTATTTCTCGGATAGCGTTAGATATGCTAAGGAGGCTGAGTTCATGAGACTGCAGCAGGGGAGCATGTCTGTTTCAGATTATGCTATGAGGTTTGAGCATCTGGCTCGTTTCTACTCTCAGGCCGTATCTGAGGCTTGGAGATGTAGGAAGTTTGTAGAGGGATTGAAGCATGTGTTGAAGGGGGTCATAGTCCCTATGTCTATAATGGAGTTTCCTGCCTTGGTTGAGAAGGCAAAGATTGTTGAGAGATTGGAGGGTGGCGGTAGCAGCTGCAAGGATGCTAGAGTTCAGGAGGGATCATCCGGATCTAGGAGGGGAGGTTAGCAGAGAGGACCCTATGACAGGCTTGTTCAGTCTCAGAGGGGTGTTGTTAGTAGGGGACCTCGTCTTGCTACTCCTTAGGGTGGAGTACAGTCAATGCAGTGTTACAGATATGGAGAAGCCCACATGGTTAGAGATTGTTCCTATTCAGGGAATGTTTTTTCAGATGTGGCAGGCCAGACCACATTTCTAGAGATTGTCAGATGCCACCGACTCCATCTGGAGTGCCCCGAGGCCAATCAGGCATGTTAGTCACTTAGCCTCAATTAACTTAAGAGGGGGGTGAATTAAGTTTTCTAAATTTTCTTCTTATAAAAACTTTTCCGAATTACTTTCTTTTCAATTTATTTCCTTAGACAAATTTGTATGTAAATAATGAATGATGATGAAAACTACACAATTACAATTAATAACAAGAAATTAAAAGTGTAGGGATAGAAGAATTGCAAACTTGATTTTATACTGGTTCGGCCAATCCTGCCTACATCTAGTCCTCAAGTCTCCCACTTGAGATTTCCACTACTCTTGTAAACCTTACAAGACTTGAATCCTCCAACACCTCGGAACTCCTTTTCCTTGTGTTGAGATTCAAACACCAACAAGGAGAAAAACCATTTCTCCTTTACAGATCCAATTATCTATTGAGTTTTACAGAATGACTCTCTTGAAGAGTGGATATTACCCTTTTATGATCTTGATAAACTCTTTAGAGATTTTGCAAATTACTTTGGCCAAGTAGTTTTTGTAAATGATTTTCACAATAGTGTTCGTCACTTTTCTCTGAAAAATTATAGGTATTTATAGACAATTATTTCTTAGGTTATGTCTTTTCATGAAGAGTTGTAACTTTCTATAATTTTTCAGAAAATAGGCTCTGAAAATCGATTACAAGACTTGGTAATCGATTACAACGGTTTAAGTTCAAAATGTTTGAAACGTTGTATAATTAAATTCAAATTTTGAAGTTTCATCCTCTGGTAATCGATTACAAAGTCTGGTAATCGATTACCAGAACATATTTTGTATTCAGAATTTGAACTTTGAAGTTTCTTGTTCTAGTAATGGATTACAAGGTCTGGTAATGGATTACCAGAACATATTTTTTTATTGTTTCAAAAACTTTTATGTAGAAAACTTTTTCTCAATAATTTCTTTCACAAATCTCTTTTAAGAAATGATTTGAACTATTCTTTAAAGCTTTTGTTAAGTCTTTTGAAAACATTTTTACTTACTTTCAAAAGATTTAAAAACTTGTTTAAAACTTATTCTCAAGGCCAAGCATACTTGCAATTCTAAAAAATTCTTTTACATTCTTAGCGAAGTTGATACGACTTATCTATGTAACACTGGAGATCTTGTTCTTGCATCAACTTCCTTTAGCTCAATCTTGATTCTTCTTCAATGCTTTATAATCACTTTGGCATCATCAAAATATTTGTGCATATTTTCTTCCACATTAGGCCTACGGTTGTGGGGAGAGTGTTTGCTTTATCAACTGTAGAGACTTCCACTTTATCAGATTTGGTGAAGAGGAAGGGGAAGGCAACAAGGTGAGGATGTTTTGTTCCTGTTTGATTCTGGTGCCACACATTCATTTTTTTTCTGTTGATTGTCTGGGGAGATTGGGTTGTTGGTGTCTGCATTGCACGTTGATTTGTATGTATCTACTCCGGCTTCAATTTCTGTGGTGACATTAGAGATGTGTGTGAGAAGCCGATAGAGGTGTTTGGTAGGAGGTTCCGAGTGAACCTGATTGTGTTGCTCATGGTAGATATTGACATAATCTTAGGGATGGCTTGGTTATCTACCCATCACATCCTTAGAGATTATGCTTGAAGAGAGTTGGTATTCCCTCAATTTGAGGCCGAGGTGATATTATCAGCGGGTCAGGCTGAGCACTTGATAAGAGATGGAGCTGAGTGCTTCATGTTGTTTGCCGTTTGAGTGTTAAGAAGAAGAGGGCCATCACTGGGATTGGGATTGTTAGTGAGTTTCTTGAGGTGCTTCCAGATGTTGTCCGGGATTATCACTTATGCGTGATGTTGTGTTTAGCATTGATCTGGTACTGGGTGCAAGACCGGTATCAGTGGCTTCTTATAGGATGGCTCTAGTTGAGTTGGTAGAGCTGAAGAGACAGATCGAGAATTTGTTGGAGAAATAGATGGTGAGGCCTAATGTTTCTCCTTGAGGTGCCCCGGTACTGTTAGTAAAGAAGGATGGTGGAGCCCGTTTGTGTGTTGATTATCGGCAAATGAATAGGTTGACGAAAAAGAATAAGTATCCACTTTTGAGGATTGATGATTTGATGGATCAGCTGAGGGGAGCTTTGGTGTTTTCAAAAATTGATTTGAGATTCGGATGCCATCAGATCAGGGTAAAGGAGAGTGACATACCAAAGACTGCTTTCAAGACTAGGTATGGTTACTATGGGTATGTATTGACACCTTTCGGTGTCAATAATGCTCCGGCAGTGTTCATGGATTACATGAACAGGATTTTCAGGTCATTCTTGGATAAGTTTGTGGTGGTCTTCATTGATGATATATTGGTGTATTCTAGATCTTTGGAGGATCACCGTGAGCATCTGAGGTTGGTTTTAAAGGTGCTAAGGGAGAGGTAGTTGTATGCCAAGCTGTCCAAGTGTGAGTTTTGATTGTCTGAAGTGAGATTTGGGGCATGTGATATCGGCAGACGGGATTGTAGTGGATCCAGCCAAGGTGGAGGCTGTGATTCAGTGGGAGCATCTGAGGACTGTTGCGGAGATTAGGAGCTTTGTTGGATTAACGGGTTACTATCAGAGATTCATAGAAGATTTCTCTCGAATAGTAATGCCTTTGACTTAACTGACTCGAAAAGATCAACTTTTTGTTTGGATGGACGCTTGTGAGCAGAGTTTTCGGGAATTGAAGGGGTGATTGACTACTTCTCCAATTTTAGTGTTACCTGACACTGGTGAGCATTTTGATGTGATCTGTGATGCTTCTCACCGGGGGTTGGGTTGTGTGTTGATGCAGGGAAGGAGAGTAGTAACATATGCTTCGAGGCAACTTAAGACTCATGAGAGGAATTATCCTACTCATGATTTGGAGCTTGCAGTTGTGGTGTTTGCCTTGAAGTCGTGGAGGCACTATCTGTATGGTGCGAGATTCAATGTATTCAGTGATCACAAGAGTTTAAAGTACCTGTTTGATCAGAAGGAGTTGAATGAGGCAGAGGAGGTGGATGGAATTCCTAAAAGACTTTGATTTCCAGTTGATGTATCATCCTGGGAAGGCGAGTGTGGTAGAAGATGTATTGATTAGGAAATCCATTCATATGTCGGCTATGTATCATCCTGGGCAGTTCAGAGATTTGAGACTAAAGGTAGAGGTTGTTCAAGAACACATTAGTTGTGGTATGATCACCATAATCGATGAGTTCTTGAGACAGGTGGGAACTAAGCAATTACAAGATTTAGAGTTGTTGAGAATTTTGGGATTGCTTGGTACCAAGAGGGCAGCTGATTTTGAGCTTAGTGCTGATGGAGATCCCCGAGTGGAAGTGTGATAGTGTCACTAAGGACTTTGTGGTTGGGTTGCTTAGGACAGCTAGGAATAGTGACTCTATCTGGGTAATTGTTGATAGGTTGACAAAGTGTGCGCATTTTCTTCCTGTCAAGAGGTGGTCCTTGGAGAGGCTTGCACAGTTGTATATCAGAGAGATAGTACAGTTGCATGGAGTGTCTTCTAGTATTATTTTTTATAGAGATCCAAGGTTTACTTTCAGGTTGGAAGACTCTACATCAGGCTTTGGGGACGAGGTTGAGGTTGAGCTCCGATTATCATCCACAAATAGATGGTCAGTCAGAGAGGACAGTTCAGTCACTAGAGGATCTCCTAAGAGCTTATGAATTGGATCATCTGGGTAGCTGGGAGGAGGTGTTACCATTAGTGGAGTTTACCTACAACAACAGTTATCACTCGAGTATTGGCATGGTGCCTTTTGAGGCTTTGTATGGCAGGAGGTGTAGGACTCCATTATGTTGGTATCAGGAGGGTAAGTCAGTAGTGGTTGGTCTAGAGTTAGTTCTTCAAACTACTGAGATGGTGAGATAGATTCAAGAAAGGTTGAGGGCTACTCATAGTCGACAATAGTCCTAGCTGATAGGAGGAGGAGACCTCTAGAGTTTGAAGAGGGAGAACATGTGTTTCACGTTTCACAGTTGCGAAAGTACATCAGAGACCCGAGTCAAGTGGTAGAGATGTATGAGGTGCAAGTTAGAGAGAACTTGACCTATGAGAAGAGACTGGTAGTTGTGATTAATCACAAGTTGAAGAAGTTTCGTGGCAAGTCCATCAGCTTGGTGAGGATTGTTTGGGATGCAGCTACTGGTGAGGTTGGCTGGGAGGTGGAGAGTCAGTTCAAGGAACAGTATTCATTCCTCTTTTCAGGTAAGCTTATTTTCGGGGACGAAAATTCTTGTTTGTTGGGAGGTATTGTAACGTAGTAAGTTTTTTAAAAAAAAATGGGTGATTTAGTAGCCTAGAACGAGCCGTTCCCAATCTGGAACGGGCCGTTCCAAACTACTAAATTGACTTGTAAAATGTAGTTGAGAACGGGCCGTTCCAAACACCAAAACGGGCCGTTCTGGATAGAGAACAGGCCGTTCCAAACACCAAAATGGGTCGTTCCGGAGGGAGTACGGGCCGTTCTGGATGGAGAACGGGCCGTTCTGGATGAGTCCCAGAACGGGTCTTTCTGCATGTGATTTTTGCACATGGTGAAAGGGTGCAGAACGGGCCGTTCCGGATTCAGAACAGGCTATTCTGGCCACTCCGAAACTTCTATAAATAGGGATTGGTGGTTGAGGAGAAAGTGCAGTTTTTAGAGAGAAGTTTTAGAGCGAAGGACTCTGGGTCTGTGAGCTCATTTCTCTCCCAAATTTCTCTGTATGATTCCTTTTCTCCTCTAGATCACTAAAGCCTTCTGTCTTTCCTTGAAATTTAGATTAGGAAGCTTGCTTTGGGAGGATTGAAGTTTCGGGTTGAGCTTCGGAAGGGAATTCTACTTCTTCTCAGTTATTGGCTATTTTGAGCCAATCTTTAGGTGAGGGAAGCTAAAATGTTTGTTGTTTAGGTTGCATGTGAGTTTAGAAACTCAATTGATGCATGAATGTTGATAATCCATAGATGGATTGAAGAAAATATCATTTTTGGGGTTTTGAGAAAAAGGAGGATTTTGATGATTTTGATGCATAGGTTGGATGCATGTGAGATTTAAGTTTATTTTGAGTCGTATGGAGCCTATGCATTGTGTTTTGTGTTTGCATGTGGTTGAATTTGTTAATTTGGATGAGAGTTTTGAACTCTCTGACTGGGATTTAGGTCGGGCACAGGTTGAGCGCGCTAGGCGTGGAAGAACTTAGGGCTCTCGGGTTGGATGTTGGGTCAGGCGTGATTTGGTTGCGTCAGGTGTGGAGACTCTTAGGAGTCTTTGTCTCAAGGACACCAAGTGTGAGTTGAACGCGCCGGGTATGGATGAGTTTTAAGACTCTTAAGTTCGGATTAGGCAAGGCGAGCTTAGGCTGCGCCAGGGGTGAACATGTTTATGAATAAAATGATACTAATGCATGCTAAGTTGAAGTTTTGGATCATGTATGTATGATATATGATGTATGCTGAGGTGTGATTCATATGTATGCATAGTGATGATATATATGAATGTTTAAATATGATATGGCATGAGTATATGTTCATATGTGTATGATTATTGATCATGATGGTGGGCAGACCATGTATGATGTATGATGCATAATTGCATGTGATGCGTTATGGCATGAGTCTAGCCTAGGACTTGAGGAGAGGAAAAATATTTTCGAACTGGATGAGCTCGCATAGAGTCTCTTGAGAGTGGTGCTTGGATAGACCACTGATATATGATAGTGGTGCTCAGGTAGGCCACTGGATTTGGGAGTGCTGCTCAGGTAGGCCACTGGGGTTGGGTGAGTCTCCTCTAAGTCCTTAGCTAGTGTTGGAGCGGGGTATGAGGTCGAGGGTTATTCCCTTAACCAAGTACTCGGGAAGGTGTGTGGATCCTTGCGGATAGTCAGTGGGCGAACTCCACAATTGACTTGGTTATGCATGCCAAGGTCGTGGTAAGCCCGTACCTAGCTGTGCTATACCTGACGGTGGATCTGGACAGTAAGGATTATATCCTGTTTAGCTGTGATTGAGCGGGTGCATTGGGCGTGAAAACGGTTGGCGTGGTTTCAGTAGGATGGGATGTCACTTTTACAGCTCTATTGTTATGGAGATCTCCTAGGTGTATGCGTGACGACGCATTAAATGATCGATATACATTGATATCTGTCATGAGATGCATTTATTGCATGATTATTAATATGATGATGTGTGGTGTTTGACTTCATGATTGGTGGATTGTATTTTATGCGTGAGTAGTATTGGATAGAGTGTATGGTGCGACTCTATGAATATGATTGATAATTGGATGATTGTGTAGTATAGATTATTGTTCTATACTTATATGATTGATTTGTGAACTCTAGCTTACCTTTTTGTTTCCCTGTGGTGGGACTGCGATGATCATACTTGGTATGGGAGCAGGTCAGGGCTAGCTTGGAGTTAAGGTGTCTGCTGCGAGACGGGGAGTTTTGATCCTCGTGTTAGAGTTACCATTTTGGGTAACGATTTTGTCTGTGCTTGACCGGCACTAGGGAATATTATCTTTGGGATGACTGTACATATATGGAGTTCTATTTTATAACTAGAAACTTAGTTATTTTCATTTTTTATATGTACATGTATGTATGAGTTATCCACCTTAATATTTCTCTTAATTTCACTAGCAGTAGTGCGATTCCACTAAGTGTAGAGACCATGGCGGGTCGTTACAAAAAATTTGCCTAAAAATCCAATTGTAAAAAAAAACCTCTAAATATGTTTTCACATAAATAACTATTGGTATTAATTATGTAGGAGTGCATATAAATATTTTTTTTATTATAAATTAATGTCTTGCTCTTACAAAAAAAGAAAATGGGATTGATACTCAATAACAATATTATCATCACTTTTAAACAATATATAATTTTTTTTAGTGACCAAATAGAATTTTGCCGCTAATTTTAACTAATATTTAGTGACCGAATAGAATTCCGTTGCTAATTTTAACTAAGATTTAGCGACCGAATAGAATTACATCGCTATATTGTAACTAATATTTGGCGATCAAATTTAATTCTATCGCTAAAAAAATAAAATTTCTTTAATTTTGTCGCTAATTTTATCTAATATTTAGCGACCGAATTTAATTCTGTCGTTAAAAAAATCAAAATTTCTGGTTTAGCGACCGAATTTAATTCCGTCACTAAAAAATTCAAAATTTCTTATTTAGCGACCGAAATAGCGACCGATTTTCTAGTGACGACTTATTTTGGTTGCTAAATCGGTCGCTAATTTGATTATTCATAGGTCGCTAAATCAATCACTAAATAGTGACTGATAAATTTCAGTCGCTAATTTCAGTCGCTATTTTGCAATTTTCTAGTAGTGAATGGGTTGATTTTGAAGACCTTTCATATGATTGTATATAATAATTTATTGTATAGGTTCATTTTGCCTTTGTATTTGTGGGGCACTTTCTTTCTTTCATTATAGGATATTCCTTTCAGATTTTAGGGTATGTTACTTGGACACTTTTGCTCCATTTGACCTTGTATTAAGGATCATCCATTTTTGTATTTTCAGTAGTAGAAGTGGGGTGACAAATAGTAATGTGTGTAGCTACTACTAGTAATTGGGCTAGGATTGGGCCTAGGCCAAATTTTACATATTAGGTTTGTTTT